CAGGGCTGTTTACATGAGATGTGGATCACTGCCGCCCCAGCCAAGGACCACACCTGGGCTCTACTGACTCAAGGCTGACCCAGCTTTATGCACATTTTTCCTCTTTGGGAGGTGAGATGTGGGACTATGCTTAATCTGTTGCTCTGGTTTAAAAAGCTCCATTGCTTTCTTTTCTCAAGATTAAGCTGTGAGGACAGCCTCAAGACTCAAGGGACACGGGGTGATTGCGAGCCCTCCCGCAGAACCCTGGTGCTCAGGGGACTCCCTCTGATCAGACAACCCTGCACATCACCAATCGAGGTGAGCCGCCGTGAAAAAAGGGCCTATGTATTGTGTGAAACTCTGTATGCTGGGGAAGGTCACCATGTACGATGTCCCTGGGGTAGTGATGGTATTGAGGCTAGGCTGGGAAAAGAGCTGCAGTAGTTGCAAAAATATCCCCTTGACTTTGGTCCCTGGTGGTCTATATACATCCCTGCTTAGACCTACTTCCTTCCTTCTCACCTGCAGCAGCTGCTATTCCTCAGCCTTCCTGGGAGTTTGTGCTTCACCCTGCGACCTCCCACATTTGAACAGCGGTGGCCCTGACCTGTGGGCACGTATAGAACAAACGCGATGAGTTCTGTGTGACCCAGGTGGCCATTGGTGGGAGGTGAGGGGAGAGAGGATCTCTTTGTGAACCTAAAAGCGACATTTTAAAAGGTACTGAACCTGTGATCCTGGCTCACTTACCCTGTTCCTCTTATGAGAGAGGTTTTTACTTTTCTGTTTTCCTGCCTGGGTTGGGAAGATGGTTCTCAGAGAGCTCAGACCTTCTTTCCAACCTTGCACAAGCGGTGTAGACATGGAGAGATTCTTGCAGAATGTAAGTGACTGTGACAGTACAGGGGCAACACACAGAGAGGCACGTGTTCATTATGTATGGCTGGAGAAATTATCTGTCTCCAGGGGAACATGTTTCATTGTGCATTAGCTTCTAGCCACTTCCTTCCTCCCTATTCCTCTGCCCACTTTCTCTATCACTGTCCTTCTGAGTCTCCTTTCCCACTCCCTGTCCCCCACATTCAGTCCAGCTCTGCCCATCAACGTCTCCATCCATCTCTGCCACGTCCCCGTCTCCCTCTCCACTTGGCTCAGCCTCACTGTTGCTGTCCAGGAGTCGCTTTTCTGTTTCTGTCTCTCATTTGTCTCTCATTCTCTCCAGCTCACTTTCTCCCATTCCATCTGTGTTTCTCTCTGTAATACCAGCGTTTTAGGTCCCCTGCAGCTAGTGATAACCTTTTCTTGTTACATTAAAGTCCATAAGCTGCACTTGGTTTACTGATTGATTGGTTTTTATTTAAATTCTGCGGAGGAAAGAAAAGGGAATTTTTATAAAGTGAGAGAGCAGAGAGGAAACATGAAACCAAGCAAGGGGAGAACAGAAAGAAGAGGCAGCCTGAGAGGAAGGGGGGAGTAGAGGAGGCAGCAGCAGAGGGTGAACCCACGGGGTCTCATTTCCTTTCAGTTAAACTCGGTCGGCTATTCATGGCTGATGACAGCTAAATCTGGATGATAAAGGGTTAAGTACCAAGTTAGGCTTGGCACCTAACTCAGAGGCAGAAGCTTCAGGGAGAAATGAGTTAGGTTAAATAAACCCAAGAAGCTGACGTGGGTAGAATTTCTTCTGCCTGACCCACTAACAACTGCGAACGGGACATTTTAGAAATGGTTTTTATTGAAATGCTTCAGTGGGGCATAGCCCCTGGAGTTAAGAACTTGGCTCTGAGGCCAGGCCTGGGGAAGCCCTGCAGGGATGTGGACAGTTGGCTGACGAAGGCGGGAGGAGGGGCGGCCCGGGTCAGGCAGGAGGTGGCAGCAGCTGCTGATCAGGGCAGCTCTGATTGCTGTGCTAGCTCTCGCCCGCTATAATTAAAGCTTTCCCAATATGATTCTGGCTTCCTGAAGGGAAACTAGAATTTAAAAAACAAACAAAAAACAGAGATGCAGAGATGCTTTGTTGCAATATACGTATATTTTTAAACCATAAAGCACTTGATCATGTCTTGAGGTCACTGCTGCTGGTCAGTTTCAAAGCACCTAATCTTCTGCCATAGCCCCGGCAGGAAAGGCTCATCTAACAAAACACACAAAATAACAGAAAATGAAATACCAAACTGTACTCGCCAAATCAGATATGCCCATGGACCTCCTCCACTGAGCATCAGCCTCCTCACCTCTGACGAGGGAAATGCTCCCCGCCGCGTCTCCCTCACCTTTTTTTCCTACTCCCTTTCGTCCCACCTCTTGCTTCTCTGCCCTAACAGACCACATAGAATCCATGGGCCAGAATAAATCAGTTGTTTTATTTCCCCTCAAAGGATGTAACCTTCTACTCCCCAAATGGCTTTGACAGTTTCCTCATTTGCTAGCTGAGGAGGACATCAAGAGGCACTGACCTTCTGGTTTTGCCTAAAGAGGGAACACTCAGTAACTATTATCCCTCAGCCCCTGATTTGCTTTAACTGTGCCCTTCTCCCTCCTGACCACATCCTCGCCTACCTTTTCACCTTCCCTCGTGAACGTACCACTTACGCTCCTCCCCACAGCGCCCCTTGCCTGCTGTGGAGTCATTATAAGGCACATCTACCTTCAACCCCACAGCAGTCCCTGCCAGCAAGGGAAGGCACAGGGCCTCTAGGAGTGTTTGCTCCCTATTTAATCAGATTAATCCCATCAGCTACCCCGAGGAGTCAGATTTTGCTGTTACTGAGCTATCTGTGGAAGGAGGAGAAATTGTCAGACATCACTTAAAGAGCCCTGTCCCTTGGACGACTGGGAACTGCTGAGAGAAATTAATCTTCCAGCTATTTAAGGCAATTTCTTTTCCATCATCCTTTGTCAAGAGGACTGCACTGGGAAATGAATCTGATGGGAGTCCCTGAACTGGTACACTCCACTCAACAGCATCTCTCCAGTGCTATGCAGCATCCATCATCCCCACACGAGCGGAGACACACCACCACTGCAAAGCCAGCTCCGAGCAGTCCCAGCAGCAAGAAGCCACGTCTGCGCAGGGTGGGCATCACTGGGCTGGACACCTGCGGTGTCACTCTGCCTCTGCTCTACTTTCTTTCCAGAAAACTTATCATAAGTTGATCTCTTCCAGGAAGTGAGTCTTTTATCCATGACCCAGGAAGGCAGACAAACAGGAATATGCCTGAACACGGGACTGTAGGTTATTCATTTTCTTGCCTGAATGTAAGTACTCAGCCTGTGCAGAATAGGTGTTTACATTGAACAGCCAGACACTGCCAAAGCTAGGCGTGAGTCAGAAACAGGGCAAGGGTAGCATTGCTTCAAGGCCATCTCTTCTTTCCAGGCTGAATTTTCTCCCATGGGCTAAGAGCCCAGGGAGTCTTATGCTCTCTGGGGTCACGTAAAAGAATTCCCATCTTCCACTCTCTCTCCACCCTCAAGGTTATTTCCCAGGGCAGTTATTTTCAAATTGTGTTCCTTGGGATTCCAAGAAGTACCAGGGCGCCAGGGTCGGGGGGATGGGGGGGGGGGGGGCGTTGTGCCGTGGGAAGTGGCCGGATGAGGAAGCTCAGTGGTTGAGGTTCTGGACTCCTCAACTCTGCTTTGACCTGATTTGATTTCTTTCAGGGGTTGGGATTGCTCCTAAGAGTTCATTTCTTTTTAAAAGTTCTAATTTTTCAAAAGATCTGCAAACCAGTGTCCTAAGCGAGAGGAAGATGACTGTACCTGTGCCTCTCATACAGCTGACCATTTGCTGATGGCTTCACAGAAGGCAGAAGTGACATGGTGCCTGCTAGCTTCGACTGTACAGTAGGTCCAGGCCTACGCGAGCAGCTCCCCGACTCCAGGGGCTCCGGAGGCACTTTTCAGCAAAATGAATCTCCTTAGGCACGAGAGTCATTTGTTTTCCAAACTCCTTTCTCCAATCTCACTAATTCCCAATTTCCCTGCATTTGACAAATGCAATTAACAAGCCTCAATCAGTTCGTGGCCGACAGCCCTCATCAATCAATAGGGTGACTGAATGAGGCTGAGGGGGAAGGGAAGGGGCAAGAAGGGAAGGTAGCCGCAGATGGGGGGGGAGGCCTTACTCCCTCTATTTCTATGAACGCCTCTCCGAACCCCTCAGTCTCAAAGCATGACACTGAGTTGTCACCCTCGCCAACCACACCAACCGCCGCTCTCTTCCTTCTTGCTCACTAAATACAAAGCGGTCTTGTTTATGCCCTCCTCTCCCAGTTTTTTAAAGGTTTCTCCCATCAACCTCTTTCCCCTATTTCTATGTCTTCTCTTTAACAGAAGGCCTTGCCATCTGTTGTCACCATAGCTTGGGAACCCCCTCAGTGCTGAGTGTGATAAATCAGCCATCTCTCTGCTCTCGGCTGGGCCTCTTTCCCACCCACACGTTCCAGTGACAATTTTGTCTGCTTCCTGCCCAGGAGGCTACAAGCCCACCATCATCCCCCCTCTCCCCCACATATACTGGAGGGCGAAAAGGACAAGAAGAACCAAGCTTGTGGTCACTACTGCTTTCATACTCACCTCTTCGTCCTCTCTCTTCCCAGGGTCCAAGCCTTCCCTTCCCAATTAGTTTAACATTCAAGATTCAGCTAACATTCAAGATTCAGGATTGACCCTCCTCACTTTTCTGCTCTGTGAGTAGCATCCGCCTCCCCTCCTCCACCACAGGGTGAGAGCTTTTTCCTCTGCAGCTCAGCCTGGTACAGCCCTATGCATCTTTCCACCTCATCAACTTTTCATCTCTGTGCAAACGAAATCGGGAATTCTCTCTCTCCTCCCTGCCTCCCTCTCCTTCTCCTTTGTTATTAGCTTCATGAGTGGGGACGTTAATGTATTCACTAGACAATGTCTTTACACCACTGTTTCCTGTAATTACAGTCACTTCCCTCCCACTGTCCTGGCTTATTTGACTGTAAAGTGCTTGGAGGAGGGACAGTGTGGACAAAAGACACAACACAGGCTGAGGTCAAGTAGTGTAATGTTACCATCCAAGAAAGTAAAAGAAATGATCACCTCCGCAGCAGCTCGTTAACAACCGGGAACACGTAGAGGTCAACACACCAGAGCTTAACAAAATTATCAATACCATCAGGGACCCCTCCACTATAAGATGGGGTGCTGTACCCAGATTACCAACGACAGTCACCCCCCCAAGAAATGCAAAACAGCCACATCCACCCTCCTTCAGGGGGTGGATCCACTATACTTGTCATGTAGATCAGCCACGTTGTCACTGGAGACTCGGATCCAGCCATCCTCCCTGACGTGGTAGAGGTTGACGGCACCTCCCGAGTAGGCATCTCTGTAGGTGGCTTGGTAGATGGCTCGACGGGCCAGATCATAGGCCTGTTCCACCTCCAGATCATAGGAGTAGCCCCGATCCATGACCCCATAAGCATACACAGAGCCAGAACCTACAGAGAAGGTGGCCCCTGAGATCCGGTTTCCTTCACTGTCCACGTAGTAGAGGCCTAGAAAGAGGGATGAGGTCAGCAGGGGAAAAACGCCCACCCCTTTGACACCTAATTCATTCTCCCAGGCAATAGTTCTCTATCCCTCTGGAAACCCAGGGGAGGCCAACAGAAATAGGAGAAAATAGGACTTTTATAAAACTGCTTAAAAAAAGAAATAAAAGCTGAAGGAATCAAATTAAATATTAAGACTCCAGGATTCTACATCATCCCACCTCATCTCAACTCACGTTATAGTAACCACCTTGCCTGTCCTCTCTGCACAACCAAAAAGCAAGTGTAATTCAAACGACTTAGGTTTCAAGCACAGAACTTCAGGCACTGTGGGAGATTACGTTTAAAACAATCCTAGCCCTCAGAGTCGAGGTTATCAGGGGCACAAGACACACATCACACAGCAGGAGAATAAAGCCTGGAGTTCCAAGTCACATTGTAAGGACCTGCACTGTCCAACGTGGTAGCCACTAGCCACACGTCGACTACTGAGCATTTGAAATGAAGCTAGTATCACATGCTGAAATGATAACATTTTGGCTCTATTGGATTAAATAAAATAGACTATTAAAATTAATTTTCTTTCTTTCTTTTTGCTGAGGAAGATTAGCCCTGAGCTAACATCTGTGCCAATCTTCCACTACTTTATGTGTGGGTCACCACTGCAGCATGGCTGACAAGTGGTGTAGGTCCATGTCCAGGATCTGAACCCACAAACCCGGGCCACCGAAGCAGAGTGTGCTGAACTTAACCACTATGCCACAGGGCTGGCCCCGAAAATTAATTTCTTTTTTATCTTTAATTTTTTACATGTGGCTACTATAAAATTTAAAATGACACGTATAGCTCACAGTGCTGGCACGGACCAGGGGTTGGCCAGGCCACCTGCCTATTTTTATAAATAAAGTTTTATTGGAAGACAGTCACACCCATTTGTGCATACATTGTCTATGACTACTTTTGTGCTAAAACCACAGAGTTAAGTAGTTGAGACAAGGACCATTTGGCCTGCAGGCCTAAAATATTTACTATTTGTCCCTTTATGAAAAAGTTAGCCAACTTCTAGGATAGATGAAAATTTAGAGAAAGATTTTAGTAAAAATGTTATCAATTTCAACTATCTGTTGGACCTCTCCAACTGGATGCCTCTGTCACCAAGTTTAGATTCAAACTTTCTGTCCTCAAATACTTTCAGTGGTTCTCTGTTACCTACCAAACTCATCTCTCTTGTGCCCCACCAACCCACACTTCCTCCTGTAGTTTCAAATTCTGCCAGTGGCATCACTAACCTTTTTCCTGTTTCAGTGGTTCTCAACTCTCACTATGCATCAGACTCATCTAAGGAAGCTTTTAAAAAAGAGGCCTAGCAGGGCTGGCCCCGTGGCCGAGTGGTTAAGTTCGCGCGCTCCACTGCAGGCGGCCCAGTGTTTCGTTGGTTCGAATCCTGGGTGTGGACATGGCACTGCTCATTAAACCACGCTGAGGCAGTGTCCCACATGCCACAACCAGAAGGACCCACAATGAAGAATATACAACTATGTACTGAGGGGCTTTGGGGAGAAAAAGGAAAAAAATAAAATCTTAAGAAAAAAAAAAGATGCCTAGGACTTACCCCAGGTTTTTTATTTTTCCAATTAGTCTGGGGTGGGGGACAAGCATGGAGCTTGTTCTTTAAGTTCTTTGGGTGATTATAATGCAGCCCAGGTTGAGAACCACTGCCCTTACCAGTTTTCAGGTTCAGAGGTTCCTAATGTCCACCCCAGTCTAGCCCCTACTCAGTCCCACTGCCACCACCTTGCCTTGCAGGCTCGTCATCTGGTTCCAGTTTACTCTTCTGGGTTTATGGCTCACTACTGTCCTTCACACACATTTAGTTCCAATTAAACTGGACTTCCAGTTACTCCCCCAAAATCCCATGCTTCTTTCCTCCCTTCCTTTGTCCATTATGTTTCCTTTCTCTCATTTTCACATCCGGGACAACTGCCCCCTTTCCATGAAGTCTTCCCTGGTTCCTTCCCTCAGAAGTAATCCTCTCCTCCTCAAAACTCCTTCAGCATTTTATTGGTTCTTTTAAAAATGGTATTCATCTCATTCAGTCTTGTCTTAAGTGATCTGTGATCCTTTTTCAGTCTGCTTCTTGAGGCAAGGAGCTGACTCATCCTGAATTGGATGGGTTGTCAGGAAGTGTTCTTGACATGGTACCATTCAGGTTATGCTCAGCTTCCTGGGTTGTCCTTGCCAGCCAGTTTCTGTACTGTCTTACACTGTTTCCACCACCTGGAACAAACCCAGGAGCTCAGGGTTCAAAGCAACATTTCCACAATGCTTCCCTAGACCACACAAGATGTATGGAACTATTCTTCCACGCCTTTCAAAGAGAAAAGTATCTCAATTTCCAAAGTAACTAACTGTGCTCTTCCTTCACATCCACTTTTTAATCTCTCCTCATTCATCCTCCATTGAGTAGTGAACTGATACTCTCCAAAGCAAGTGAAAAAGTTGTGGGTATCCTACAGTTGTTCAACAGAGGAAAACTAGGCATTTAGTAAGCAGGTAAATGAATGAAGCAAAACAATAGGAGCAAAGAAGAACTGTGTTCAAGCATCCAGGGGAAACTTACACAGAAAGTGACTAGCTGTATTCTGGTTTAACTAAAGGGACATTCAAAACTGGCTGAAGAGGAACTGACATCAGATACAAGATTGAACCTCTGGCAAGGTTTTTACAAACTGGAAAGGAAAACAGGCTAAGGAATTTCTTTTGAGAGAGATGATGGAACATGACCTAGGGTGATTATATCAAGCAAGGAAAGGAGATGAGCCCAAAAGTCTCCTCCGAGGCCAAAGACTCCCTAAAGGAAAAAACAGAAAAGAAATGACTAACGTTTTTTTAAAAATTTAATTAAATTTTTTTGAGGAAGATTAGCCCTGAACTGACATCTGCTGCCAATCCTCATCTTTTTGCTGAGGAAGAGTGGCCCTGAGCTAACATCTGTGCCCATCTTCCTGTGTTTTATATGTGGGACCCTGCCACAGCATGGCTTGATGAGCAGTGAGTAGGTCCATGCCGGGGATCCGAACCAGCAAACCCCAGGGAGCCAAAGTGGAGCACATGAACTTAACCACTGCACCACAGGGCCAGCCCCATGACTAACTTTTGAGAATTCTGCTGTCTAATACAGTAGCAACTAACCCCGTGTGGCTACTCAGCACTTGAAATGGGGGTAGTGCTGCATGCCAAAATGATAATATTTTAGGTATTTTGGATTAAATGAATTGTGAAAATTAATTTCACCTGTTCCTTTTTACTTTTTTAATATATCCAGTAGAAAAATTTAACTTATACATGTGGCTCACACTATATTTCTCTTTTTTTTTAAAGATTTTATTTTTTCCTTTTTCTTCCCAAAGCCCCTCAGTACATAGTTGTATATTCTTCATTGTGGGTCCTTTTAGTTGTGGCATGTGGGACGCTGCCTCAGCGTGGTTTGATGAGCAGTGCCATGTCCTCGCCCAGGATTCGAACCAACGAAACACTGGGCCGCCTGCAGTGGAGCGCGCGAACCTAACCACTCGGCCACGGGGCCAGCCCCTCACACTATATTTCTATTAGATAGCAGTGACTAGAGTTTTTATGTCTATTATCCAACTAATTTCTCAAATTCAACTCTCTGTAGGTCCTTTCATTTTACAGGATAGTAGAAGGAAAAATGTGTGCCAGACACTGTATGCTTTACATGTATTATCTCACTTAACCAATGTAATGGATGATGAAACAGAGGCTGAGAAAAGAAGCAGCCTGCCTAAGGTCCCACAGGGAGTCATGACACAGCAGGGCTAACTCCAAGGCCTTTTCCTACCCAACATCACCTTCCTCGAACAAAGAGAAAGAAGGTCCTAATCAACACATCCTCAGCACTGACACAAAACCCTTCATTCATCTGCTCGTCCAAGCCCCCACTGGCTGTAGTGTCAGCCCAAGCATCACGTGGCTGCAGCTAAACTCACCAGGGCCTCTCTTATCCCAGCCGCAGATCATGGTGCCCATGGACAGCCCCATGCCTTTATACTGATACACCATGTTAGCAAGCAGCTTGGAGGCAGCTGCTACCGAAATGCGTTCCTTGTTCCGAAGCTCATAGATTCGACATTGCCGAGCCAGTAGCCGCTCCCAGAAGCTGCAGTCGGCTGCGCCTCCAGCCATGGTGCCCAGCAGGTAGGGGTTGATCTCTATCACCTTCTTTACTGTCTGGGAGGCAATGTAGGCGCCCGCTGTGGCCCGGGAGTCCGCTGCAACAATGACTCCATGTTGAAACTGTCAAGATCAGAGGAAAACACAAGGCAGGCCACATCAGACCACAAAAACATCTCCCTGACATTTCTCTTTGCGTGAATGCAAACCCAGAACATCTCCTCCTCTGTCGTTTTATACTCCACAATACACTTTCCCACAGACTAATGTCACTTGAGCTTCACCTCAATCCTTGGACATGGATATAACCAGTATTACCTTCATTTTATAGACGAGGAAACAGGTTCAATGAGATGGAATGACTTGCCCAAGATCGCAGAGCACGTTCTTGCAAAGCTGGGTCAGCAATCCCAATTGTCTGGCTCCTACTACAGTGCTCCCTCGCACCAATCTTCCCCCACATGCCATAGCGTTTCGCTTACCCTCGCCTAACGGGGCCACCTAGTTTCCAAAACCTTCGGTGTACGGTTACAACAGCCTTCCCTCTACCAATGTTCATTGCTGCTGGGCCTCCCCTTCCCTGGACACGAGCAACCTGGGGTCGCCTAGAGATCAACCCAAGCAGCCTCGGGGTCCTTCTCCCACTTACCCCCAGCCCCACCGCCCCTCTCGAGAACCGAGGCCTCCCGGCGCAATGAGACAGCGAAACCGCCGGGGTGGAGACAAGAAGCCCCAGCCTCCGCCTGGGCTTCGCGGCCGCGGCCGCCACTCCGGCTGGGACACCGGGAAGGGCGCGGACTCGCGGGACTCAGCCCGGCGCGGCGGCGGGGTCCGCACCTTGAAGGCCAGGGTGGTGGTTCCATGAAGCATTTCGATTCTCGGCTCCTCTGGGACACCCCAGCTGGGCGCGGCCAGGGTCAGCCCATCACTGGGACTCCCTGGACCCAGGTCCAGCAGATCCGCACGACCCCCGAGTCCGAAAAACCCGCGCCGGTTCACCGGTAGCTGCCTCTCTAACACACTGGCCAGCGCCATGTCTAGTAAGGGCAGAAGGGACTCCAGGGGATACCGGCCCGCAAAGAGCGGCCGGGCAACGCCTTGCCGTCGCAGCTTCACGTCCTATCAAATCTACCCCAGCCGGGAGCCATTTTAACTGCTGGCAACCACGCCTCCAAAAACAAGAGCCAGACGCAAGGAACCTTTATCACCGAGAGGGAGGAAAATGAATGACTTCACTACCCTTAAATTCTAAAGGCGTGTGGCTGCCATCTTGACTCTGGTCATGAGAGCAGTAATGGATTAGATTCACCTCAAATTCATAGGAAGGGATCGGAAACGTCCATGTCGAGCGCGGGAAGTGGGGCCGGCCATCTTTGGGAAGGGCGTGACTGGTTGAAAATCAGTCTGAACCCTTAGCGTATGTCGTCCCCGCCCAGCCCGGCGTCCCAGCAACGCTTTACACCTCTACGGCTTCTGCGCCCTATTAACGCGACTGGAGTTGCCATTTTGTTTAAGGGCACCCTCTAATACTGGGTAAAATTATGATCTCCTCTGAGGCCGTTTTCCTCTGAAGTTAGTTGAACCACCGTAGTTTGCGGTAAAAAGCGCAACAACTATAAAAATGCTATACTTCTTGTCTGATAGCATTAATCGCCACAGTGCCCACGTTCTCTAACAGTAACCAACTTGGATGATTCAATATTCTCTTTACTCCCACCCTCTGCTGGAAGATCTTGTAAGTAATGAATTGCTCAAAAGGCAGGTAGAAGAATAAAGAAGGAAAAGCAAAGGGCCCAGTTAATCCACAAACCAGATTCTCAATTCAGCTCCTGCATAACTGAGTCCATAGTCCTTTACCACCTCAGAGCCTAGAGGACAGTGGAGACTCCATAAAAATGTACCAAGCGGTTCTCCAAACTTAAGCTTGCTAAGACAAGCTCTTTAGTCGGGAATGTGCTATATTTCATTGCCTCTCTCCCTCTCCACCCACCTTCATTTTTCAACTCTTTTGGGAACCATAACAAGCAAGGAAGTGGGCAAATGTATGAAATGTTGCCTCCTGCTTTAAGGCTCTATGAAGTCAGTGTCTGGCCTTCCTTGGTGGATTTCAGTGGCAACATCCATCAATATCTAAATTTCTCTTTCCTCTGATGCCCAACTCAGCCCCTCCTTTTCCCCAGCGTGTTGTATTTTTAATGCTGAAATTTGGCAACCCTTTCCAAGCCCAACCATCAGAATGGAATGAAGCAGAAGATCTTTATCTGTGTCTCACACTTAGCTGGAGTGGAAAATGCAGAGTACCTCTGTTTATTGAGCAGGTATTATTTTGCAGTCGCCCCTGCAATGCAACTTGTCCTCCTTCTGCCTTCTGTCAGGGGTTCTGTCACTCTGCCACTGATAGCATTTGTACCTCTCTTAAGGCACTTTCACATTTTACCTGATTTTAAGTGTATGTTTATTTCCTACTGGATTGTACGCTTTTAAAGATAGGTATATCTCTACTATTCATCTCTGTGCCCACTGTGTGCTTAATATATGTTTGCCAAATGAGTACGTGAAAGAATGACAGCAGTGTTCTTCCAGTCACAGAGGCTTGAAGCCCTGACTCACCTTTAACAACTCCCCTTCCTTTCTTCCACATCCAGTAAGTTGCCAGGTCCTGTTGATTCTTCCTCTGCAATGCTTCTCACCTTCTTTTTCATTGTAACTGATACAACCTTTGGCTTCTTATCTCCTCACTCTTGAAATCTTCTCCTTATTTTCCGGGCCCAAACTATACTCTCTAATTCATTCTGCATACCACCAGCTTGATTTTCCTAAAACACCAGCTTGATCTTATCACTCGCCTGCTCAAAAATGTTCTGTAAAGTTCGGCTCTTCAGCATGGCATTCAAGGCATTCCATAATCTGTTCCCGATTTACCTTACGTTAGTTCTCTGGTCCGAGGTCCCTACACATGGAGACCTCAAAAAGGAGAGGTACAAATGATAAGTGCTGCTCTTGGTGGGAATGTAAATTGGTGCAGCCACTAAAACAGTATGGAGATTAGTCAAAAAATTAAAGCTAGAACTATGCTGTGATCTAGCAATCCCACATCTGAGTATTTATCACAAGGAAATGAAATCACTATCTTGTAGAGATATCTGCACTCCAATGTTCATTGTGGCATTATTCACAATCGCCAAGACATGGAAACAACCTGTGTCCATTGACGGATGAATGAATAAAGAAAATGTTACCTATATGGTGGAATATTAATCAGCCACTAAAAAGAAGCAAATCCTGCCATTTGCAACAACATGGATGAAACTTGAGGGCATTATGCTAAGTGAAATAAGTCAGACAGAGAAAGACAAATACTGTATGATCTTAATTTTATGTGGAATCTAATAAAGCCAAACTCTTAGAAACAGAAAGTAGATTGGTGGTAGCCAGGGGCTAGAGGGTAGGGTAAACTTGGTCAAAGGGTGTAAACTTCTGGTTATAAGAGGAATAAGTTCTGGGAATCTAGTGTACTGCAAGGTGATTATAGCTGATGATACTGTATTGTATACTTGAAAGGCGAAGAGAGTAGATTTTATTTTTTATTTTATTATTTATATATTTATTTATTTGTAAGGAAGATTGGCCCTGAGCTAACATCTGTTGCCAATCTTCCTCTTTTTGCTTGAGGAAGGTTATCACTGAACAACATCTGTGCCAATCTTCCTCTATTTTCTGTGTGGGACACTGCCGCAGCATGGCTTGATGTGTGGTGTGTAAGTCTGTGCTCAGGATTTGGGCTCACAAACCCCAGGGGTTTGGCATGCACGAACTTAACCACTACACCACTGGGCCAGCCCCTTGAAAGGTGAAGAGAGTAGATTTTAAATGTTCTCATCGTAACAACAACAACAAAAATGGTAATTATGTGAATTAAAGAACGTGTTAACTAACCTTATTGTGGTAAACATTTTCCAATATATATATGTATCGAATCATCATGTCTACACCTGAAACTTATACAGTGTTGTATGTCAATTATATCTCAGTAAAGTTGGGGTGGGTGGGTAGGAACAAATGCTGTAGTTCAGAGGTGGGAGAGGAGGTCAGTATAGATTGGGGTGAGGTTGGGGGGTCCAGGAATGCTTTGCCAAGGAGGTCTGGATTCATTGCCCTAAGTAGCACTTGGGTCTTATTGGTCCTCAAACCCACAGCCTCTCCTCTCTCTGCCCATTCCTGGAAAGGATTTTCAGAATAGCTGGTACTCAAGCCAGACTTTGAAGGATATGCATTAGGAATAGAGTAAAAAGACGTTGTAGTGGATGAATTAGGATTGGGTCCTAATGGGCCTTAAATGCCAGCGTGGGGTGGAGAAGGTGGTTTGGATTTGATCTTGAAGCTCTTCAAGGTTTCTTAGCCGAGGAGACACAGAATTTGAGTGATACCTTGGGGAAAACATGTCAGTGTGGAGGATAAGCTTAGAGGGGAGACCAGAGGGTGGCCAGTCAGGAGGCCATTTGACTGTCCAGATCTGGCTGGATAATGGCCTGACCTGGGGACATGGCAATCCATCCATGGAAAAAGTGTCTAAGACTTAGCCTTTAGAACAAGGAGACATTCTTATCTCTTCAGTAAGATCCCCATGTGGTCCTACTCAAAGGAAGGGAGGACTGGTTGGACTTTAGCATGACCTCCTGCTTTCTCCAGTCTCCCCATGACAGGTTTATACTTGTCCTTAGACTGAGAGTCCAGGAAACTGATGCCACAGCCCCACCATTGTGATGTCTGGAGGGTGCAGCCTCTTTCCTTTGTGTGTGGGTCTGTTTCTTTGAATAAACCTGTTCCCACAACACCCCTTTGAGCTGCAATGGTAAGTAAAATATACTCCATATGTGCTGGAAGTAGTTGCAGCTTGTCACTCTGCCCCAATCTACCATCTTTCTGAAGGGCCAGCTGTCAGGGTCCAGCAACCTTACTCCTCGACCACCCCTGGTTGGTCTGAGACCTAGACTCAGCATTATGGGGTCAAGGTCACTTGTTTCTCCTGCCTTAGAATTACAAACCAGTCTCTTTCCATTGTGCAGGGAAAACAAGAGGAGCCCGCTGTACTCCTTCCACGTGCTGCTCCTTTCCTTTGCAGTTAACCCAGCCCCCAGCCACTCCAGGTGCTTGGGGGATGACAGACAGGAGACTCCTTGGGTGACGCTCAGATATGTCATGGGCAGCGTCTTCCCAGCACTGGAGACTCTGCTGGCCTCATCCTGTCTCCCCTCAGCAGTCCTCTGGGGAGGAGGGGGCTTCCCCCTCAGCTTGTTCCAAAGCCTGATTTGGAGTTAGGGAGGAGTGAAGCCACAGATCATATGCCTTCCTCACTGGTTCTGGCTGTAGCCCAGCATCTCCTTAGCGTCCCTCTTTCCTCAGCTGACCCCAGCCCACAAATCCCTGCCTTGCTCCTTCCAGCCTTCACTCGACTCCTGGGATGGCTCTGCAGGATGTATGCAAGTGGCAGGCCCCGGACACCCAGGGATTGTCACCTCACCTGCCTCAGGCTGGTGGCTGGGCTGTGCCCCGGGGCTGTGACCCTCAAACCTTCTTGCAGATCCACGGCCCCAGGCTGGCCCACGGCACCACCACCCTGGCCTTCCGCTTCCGTCACGGAGTCATTGCTGCAGCTGACACGCGTTCCTCCTGTGGCAACTATGTGGCCTGTCCAGCCTCACGCAAGGTCATCCCTGTGCACCAGCACCTCCTGGGCACCACCTCTGGCACCTCCGCCGACTGTGCCACATGGTACCGGGTGCTACAGCGGGAGCTGCGGCTGCGGGCACTGAGGGAGGGGCAGCTGCCCAGTGTGGCCAGTGCCGCCAAACTCTTGTCAGCCATGATGTCCCACTACCGGGGGCTGGATCTGTGTGTGGCCACTGCCCTGTGTGGCTGGGACCGCTCTGGCCCGGCCCTCTTCTATGTCTACAGCGATGGCACCCGCCTGCAGGGGGACATCTTCTCGGTGGGCTCTGGATCTCCCTATGCCTATGGCGTGCTGGACCGCGGCTACCGCTACGACATGACCACCCAGGAAGCC